GTTTGAAGAGGAGATCCCCCTTTTGTGGGGAGTGGAGGCAGAGAAGGGGGCCGGGGAGGTGCTTTGTCCCCATCACTGTTCTCACATCCCCTCCTTGGAGCACCCCCTGGCCCCGGGGAGAAGCTTTCAGCCAGTGACAGCCATGGGCCATGGGCAGGAGCTGGGAAGGTGGGGACAAAGACGGTTTCCTCTTGAAAAGCCAGGAGCAGGAAACACGGAGCCGAGAAGCAGAACCAGCTTCCTTACCTGGGAGCTCCCGAGCTTCCAGCCGACTGCTGTGAGCTCCAAGGCTCCCTCTCCTGCAGGGCCAGCCTTCCATCTGTGTTGCTCCAAACCAAGGGGGCCAGGGTGGGGGGTGTGCTGCCAGTTACCGCGCTGCAGCCTGATCCATCCCTGTCTCCCGCGATCTCAGTTCCGGGCCCCCAGATGCTTGTGGTCTACACTGGGCTTTAGTTTCGGATGGCTTTTCTCCTCCTAACCCTCTACCTTCAGCGAGAAGCTATGGCTCTCTATACCTAAAGGGCTCCTGAAGGCAGGCATAGGATGTGCTTGGGGCAAGAGGTCTCTGCAGGGGTGACTCTGGACCTCATGGGGCCGGGCACCTGTTGGGAAAGAGACAAATGAAGCTGAATAACCCATCAAAGCTCTTTAAACCCGGTTGCTCTGCTCTCATCCTGGCTGCTTCTTCCATTACGCTGGGCTTGACTTAGAGTTGTAATGCCCCAGTCTGAACTTCATAAGCAATAGACAGAAGTGCCTTTGTTTACCCCAACAAGCGTCATGGACGTCATGGTCACAGCGGTTGTCTGTGGCCTTTGGCATCAGACGGTGGAAGTCCAGATGCTGCTGTGACCCCTAGAAGCTGGTGGTGGCGTTGCATCCCCCGACCTCTTAGTGACGCAGCTTCCTCATCTGGCAATGGGGTTGGATGGCAGGGGCACATCCATCCTTGCGCTGTTAGGAGTCGTCAGTGGGATGGGATAATGCGCGTAAAGTGTCCAGGACTGGATTGGTCACAGAGAGTGTGTAGAATGTGGCAAATGCCATTAGTGTTGCCATAAAATCTGAACTCTATTGACTGTACCCATGTGTTTTGAGCATTTGTTTCATGGCAGGCATGGTGCACACGTCTCACTTATATAAATTCTCTTTATTCCCAAAGCCGTCTGAGGGCAGAGACGGTCTGCCCCGCTTTGCACAGAGAAGACTAGGGCTCAGACACACAGGCCCCTTGCTCCAAGTCTTTGACCACAGAGAACTCTCTTGAGGACGTCAGCCAGTCTTGGTTTTATCTTTTTAACGATGGCAACATTTTTCTTCCAATTGGAAAGAGAGCAAGTAGACCTTTTGGAGTCAGAGCGAGGAGGAAACCCAAAGCCCTGCTCCCCAAGCCTTCCCCTGCCCACCCAGAGCACTGTTGTCCACTTAAGGAGCCACCAGCCTTGTGTGACCATTTATGTCAAAATCTAAATTGATGCAATGAAATAAGATTAAAACCTCAGTTCCCCCATTTGCACCAACCACATTTCCAGTGCATGATAGCCATATTAGACAGCATAGATATAGAGCATTTCCTTCAGAAAGCTCTACTGGACAGCGCTGTCCTAGAGAGTTTGCAGTACAGAATTTGGAAATAATACTGATGAGCTTCAGGCTGCTTTGCGGAGCCTCCTCTGCTCATGGACAACATAGGAAAATACTAATAATAATTGTATATCTCCCTACTGGACCGTCTTTGGTAAAGCACTGTGCAAACAAAGCCATGTCTATCAGAGGGGGCTGTGCAAGCCCTGGGATGTTTTTAAACATGCATTTAGACCCCAGCTCTCTAGAATCATTGATGAGGGAGAGAAACCAACATCACATGGCCCTGTAGTTTCCTTCATGTGCTGTCCTCATTTTGGTTCTGATGTGGCCCCAGGACCAGAGACAGCCCATGGAGGGCAGGCTCACTTGTGGCCCTTCATGGCCCCCAGCCCACCCCAGGCACACCAGTGTGTAATTGTTTCACTCATGTCTTTTGTGATTGTCTTCCCTCTTACTTTTGCAAACTTGGTTCCCTGAGAAAACTTCCTGTTTTCTTTCTGTTCATCTGGCTGTTTCTCAGCTATAGAATATTTTGTCATGAAATATGGTAATGATTTGCAGAAATCTGTGCCTGTCCATAAATACTGATTTAAGCTGCTGTTAGGCAATTCTCATGTCATTTCCAGGTGCAGTTTTAGAATTCCATCCCAGACTTGCATCAGTGTGTGGTGGGTTAACAGGAGAGGGAAAGGTTTTACCACATGAATACAAACAGATGGCCTTCACATTTGAATGCCTCTGTGCACATGTATGTGTGTATTCGTTTGTTTTTTGAGGAATTAAGAGAAGAGAGTGGGAAGGTCTCAGTAAAACCCAGGTTCCCAGCATCTCCATGGCAACTTTGATACGCTGAGGTATTGACGTTGCAAGCAACCAAGCTTCATCGAGAGGACAAATACCATCCATGGCCTGAAGTCTTCAGGAGACCCATATCATCCAGAGTCTCAATTGCCCTGTTGATAGTCACAGAAGGTGACTGTTGGCTTGTGGAATCAGAATGCCGCAGCTGGATGAGTATCTCAGCAGGCCCGTGGTGACCACCTCATCTCGCAGATGAGGAACCTGCAATCCAAAAGAAGGAAGTGACTTTCCCAAGGTCTCACCATCATCCAAATCTAGAGTAGAAATCAGATCCCCTCTACCTGCTCTCCCAACTGCTCCTCTCACACAGGCCCCGCCATCATGCACAAATTGCTTTCAACTCCCCATTCCATATTTCCACAGCTCTCAGTGTTGCTGGCTTTCCAGAAGTCTCTTTCCTCTCGGTTCATCAGCTCTGGTTTACCATCACCATTAACAAGGCTTAGTTTCCTTTCCCTTCCACTTGGGTGATCTGATCTCCTTTTAATACTCGCCAAGTGTAACACCAAGCCTCCAATCCTACAGCCTTGGGAGAGAGGCTTTAGAGTCTTTGTGTTGGTGAGATGAGCCTTGTAGTCTTGCTCCACCTCTAACCATCACAGGGACAAAAAATTAAAACGAAGCATGCAGCCGTAAACATTCCAAACGGTTTTGTTCCCATCGGGAGACCTTCAGCAGCTGTCTCTGAAAGGATGCAACGATTTACCTCCTCTCCCTGCCACTTCTATTTTTCTTTGCCTCACTGTTTTATGTGTTCTTTTTAAGGAAAGCAAGGCAGTGAAGTTGAGAAAGTACCAGGACATTGAGTAATCTCCGTTTTAGCTTTCCTACCTACTTTAGGTCATCGCCACCCCATCCCTACCTAGTTTTGAGCCATCCATCCCCATGCACAAGGGCAATCACTTCAGCCTTGTGAAGTAACTCTAAAAATTGGAAACAATACTCACGCCCACTGATAGTGACCTGGGTAATGACTGAGTCACAGCCATGCTATTGAGGGATGATTCAACGCTCGCCTTTTGGGGATGCAGACTGCGAAGGGTCATGCAGGACTGAGATAATAACGTTCAGTGCCTTAATCTGCATGGTGATTTCCAGGATGTACACGTGTAAAAATTTATCTTGCACTTTACTGCATATGCGTTATACATTAATGAAAAAACCCATTAACGGGAAAAAGCTATGTTTATGGACATTGAAATACATTCACTCTGTGTGGTTTGCAACAAGCAAAGGCTGCTTTGGAGGTTGAAACCAGGACACAGTGTGGCCCACGGGCCAATCTGTGTTTGTAAATAACCTTTTATGGGAACAGGGCTGAATTCATTCATTTATGTATTATTTAGGGCTGCCCTTGTGCTGTGTATTAGCCTTCCTAGGTCTAACAGAGAGGCTTAAACAACGGGAATTTCCCGTCTCATGGTTCTGGAGGCTGGAAGTCTGAGATTAAGGCGGCAGCAGGGCTATGCCTGCTCTGAAGGCATGAGGGTAGCCCCTGTTCCGGTCCCCTGTCCCAGCTTCTGGTAGTTGCTTGGCTTGTGGCCATGTTAACTCCAGCCTTCACGGTGGTGGTGTTCTCCATGTGTCTGTCTGTGGTCCAATCTCCCCTTTTTTTGAGAACATCAGTCATATTGGATTGGAGGCCTCCCCTTCCCCTGTGTGAGCTCATGTTATCTAATCACATCTGCAATGACCCTATCTCCAAATAAAATCATATTCTGAGGTGCTGGGGGTTATGGCTTCACCATACGAATTTGGGGAGGGTCACAGGTCAGCCCAGAACATGCTACAGCAGCAGCAGTGTGGAGTTGTTGTGATACAGACCGTATGGCCCACAGCTTAAACTATTTACTATCTTGACTTTACAGAAAAAGTTTGCCAATCCCTGCTTTATTTAAAAGGTGTGTGTGTGTGTGTGTGTGTGTGTGTGTGTGTGTGTACACGCATGCACGTGTGCATACATAAGAAATTTGGAAAGCTGTTCACCAATGTGTTAACAGAGGTTGCCTCTGAATTATGAGACAATTTAAGTTTTAATTGTAGTTTTGATATTTTCTATATTTGGGTTTCTAAAAATTATTATATAATAATTTTTATAATATAAATCGATAGTAAACATGTTTCCCTTGGGAGGAAGACATCGTTCCTATGCACTCACTCTCCCTTCTTGCACCCTACACCAAATCCTCCTGTACCTTAATGGTTTATTTTGGTCTGATGCAAACCTTTCTAAATAGGCCACTGCTCCCCACTGTTGGGAGTGCTAAGGGCAAACACTTAGCAAACCAGCAAACTCAACTGTTTACTCACTTGGGCATAAGGATTCTTCATGTCTTTATTTAGCTGCCTCTTGTATGTAACTTGGAGAGAAAAGGTTCTGGCTTTTATCTCCTCATTAAAAATAGATCCTTTTATGATGAGGGGATGGGGCTGCAATGAGTCACCCTGTACAGAGTGAAAGAAAGCATGCGGTGCTGGATCAGGTCTCAGGAGCTGGTCCCCAAAATGGTACCCCACCATCCCCATGACTCCGTGGTTTTTTGTCATTGCAGGAAACTGGATGCTTTCATCTATGATGCGGCGGTCTTGAATTACAAGGCTGGGAGGGATGAAGGCTGCAAGCTGGTGACCATCGGGAGTGGGTACATCTTTGCCACAACTGGTTACGGAATTGCCCTCCAGAAGGGCTCCCCTTGGAAGAGGCAGATTGACCTGGCCCTGCTCCAGTTTGTGGGTGATGGTAAGACCTTGGGTGACCCCCTATCTTTCAGGGGACTTGACACCCGTGCACTCTCTTTGCTGATTGGCTTTCCAATGGATCTTTGTTTGATGCATTTGCTCACTATTTATTGGGTGCCTCTCACACGATACCATGGTTTTCTAGGTTGCCTATAATGGAAACCAATTTTAGACAACAAAATTTTCCAAAGAAACTTATTTTAAGGATGCAGAAGTGTCTATCTCAGTGAATTGAGGAAGGAGTTGAGCAAATAGGTTCAGGAAAAAAAAAGCAGGAACCGGAGCAATCCTCGGGCCTTGATAGCAGGACTTCATAGGTCCTGTCCTAAAGTAGCAGTTCTCAATCAGGGCAGTTTTGCTCCCTGGGGCACTTGGCTATGTCTGGAGACATCTTTGATTGTCATGGTTGGGAGGCCATTTGCTACTGGCATCTAGTGGGGAGAGGTCAAGGATGCTGGCAGACATCTTACAATGCCCAAGATGGCCCCCTCATCTCAAAACATGGAATTACCTGACCCCAAATGTTAGTAGCCCTGGGGTAAAGAAACCATGATGTTACATGACTAGGCTCCAGTCCTAAACTCTGTTCTCTCAATTCTAAATTTCATATTCCAAAGGAAGGATTCCTGATGCATTTCGAACCAAAGACTCTTTCCCGGACCCATCAGGAGTGCCTAAGGGGTGGGGTTACATTGTACCAACACAGAGGCTCCTGATTTTATCCTATGGAGGAGTGAGGGAGAGGCAATCTCTAGAAAAGGGATATGAGCAGAAATCCCATGGGTTTCCACTACAGTCTACCTGCTTCTGCCAAAAGACAGTTTCCAGCCCCATGGGTCTTACAGTCTCTTGGGACCGTGGCGTTTATGGACCTCTGTAGGTGATTGGGCTGTGTCTCCAGCATCATTGCCTTCAGTCTACCCTCTACTTCCTAGTTGGTGATCTCACTGGCTGGAGTTTTTTAGGATCCTGTCCTGGCTCAAATGGCAGTTAACCCTGAGAACCTGAGTAAGCTGGGGCCCAGGGCAGCAGCTGCATCCAAGGACAGCTGGAGGCCGTGTTCAGAGATGGTTGCAGAATATTCCGTACCTCCCTGGAGCTGGGAGAGGAGGATCTGGCAACCAGTGTGGTTAAATACAACACTGAAATGCACAGACATTCGTGCACAGTGTGGTATGATTTTGAACAAGGTGCATATTTCCTTGCATCTTCTCCTTCTCTCTCTGCTCCCGGAACTAAGCCCTGGATTCTCAAAGTGCCATCAGAACATCTAAATGTGTTTTATATTTAACTCCCAAATAAGAACATCTGATCCTCTGAATTCCCTGTAGGGCATTTGTACCTTCTTCTGATCATGAGCCATGTTCTCTGTTGTGTAATAGTGACCTGTGGCTGTCGGTCAGCTCTGGCTGTGAAATCTGAGAGGCGTACACCACTAGGCCTTTATTTTGCCCGTGGGAGTGCAGGTTGAGTGGAGGAGCTCTGTCTCAGGCTGCGGTGGCCTTGGTGGTTCTGGGCCCTGCGGTGCACCCAGGGATCAAATGTGCTGTCTGCTCTGCATTCGTTTATTCTGGGGCTCCGGCCGAAAGGGCAGGAGCTGCCTGGGAGAAGCTCTTTTCTTGGCTGTGTCACGGGCACAGAGGAGATACCCAATTGTACATGTGCATTTCAAGTCTCTGCTTCACCGTGGTCACGCCACGAACACCTTTCTGTCTGGAGCAAGTCTGATGGCCAAGCCCAAAGTAAAGAGATCAGAGGTACACTCTGCCTTTTATCGGGTAGGGGAGTTTGGGGTTACAGGACAAGGGGTATGGACCCAGGGGTGAAGAATTGGGACCGTTTCCTCCACCTGCCATCCTGGTCGCCCAAGTCCCCCTACACAGGGTGAACTATTCGACAAATGAGTCTTGTTTCCATCAGTAAATACCACAAAATCCTGAACTTGTCCTGACCTGATAACTGGCCCGTGAAGGACTGAGTGAACAAACACATGCATGGATGAACGGGGGGTGTCGAGGTGTATTTCATTTGACAGGACACTTTTAAATATGATTGGTAGCTGTCAAATAAGTGAGTTCGAACTCTACTCCTACTGTTAGTCCTTGCTGTTACTCTAACAGGATCTGTTCTGGAACAGCAACATATTTAGGGAGTAGTATATGCCAGTTACCACACTGGTGACATTACCTGGGTTCTTTAATATTCATAATAACTTTAGGAAATTCAGTGTTGCTTCTACACACTTTACAGAGGAGGAAACGGAAGCGCAGAGGGCTAGCTAGTAAGTGGCAGAGTTTCTACTGCAGGGGCCTCACTCTGGAAGTGGGTCAGTTATGTAAAACTGCTTCATTCAATTCGCTAGGTTGTCTATCGAAGTTGGCTAATTAGATGCTTGAGATTTATAGATCCTTTAGGAAGGAGTAATTTAGTGCATATCTGAACTGAATCTATTGTCCCACTGACAGATACTTCTATGAAGGGGGTCATCTTTCTTAGCCTCTGTTTACTCATCTGTGAATGAATGCATGCAGAAATATTTACCTGATGAGGTTGATGCCAGGATGAAATGAGAGGATACGTGTAAAGAGCTTAGCTAAAGCACCTGAAAATAGAAATGGTTCAATAAATGCTAGCTATTACCATCATCTCCATCATCCTTACCATGACCATGACCATCATTATCATTATATCATCATCACCACCACCATCACCACCACCATCATCACCATCATCATCTTCATTATATCATCATCACCATCATCACCACCATTACCACCACCATCATCATCACCATCATCATTATCATTACCACCATCATCACCATATCATCATCACTATCATCACATCATCACCACCACCACCATCATCATCATCACCAGCACCACCACCATCACTACCACCATCATCAGCATTACCACCATCACTACCACCATTATCATCACCATCATCATCACCACCACAATTATCACCACCACCATCATCAGCATCACCACCATTATCACCCTCATAATCATCACCATCATCACTGCCATCATCACCACTATCACCAACACCAACACCAACATCATTTTATCACCAGCACGATCATCATCACCACCATCCTCATCACCATTCTCCACCTAAACCTCCTCCTCATTGTTGTCCATCCACAACTCCAGTATTCAATACAGCCTATTTAGTGTTGTATTGGTGATAACAGTATCATGGAAACCACCTTTATGGTGCTGCACAGAAAATGTCCTCTTTCTGACAGATAAAAAGAATACAAAGTAAAGGCCCCAGAGAGGCCAGAAGTGTGTTCCTTGTACTAGCAGGGCATCTAGATTCTTACACATATTTTCAGTCCTCACTCATTGCTTTCCTGGTCAGACTGTTGGGATTGGGAAACGTGTCTTCTGGAAGCAAAGACATGGGAGAGAAAATGACGTTGCTCCAGGGGGCGTCTTAAGATAATCTTCCCGGAAAGCCATGTCCAATTCTGAATGTCTCTCTAGGAGTAAATACATGAATTAACACAGCTGCATAAATATTTCACTTATCTTCAGCAGCTTCAGCAGGATTAATTATGCTCTAAAATTAGACCTGTAAAGAGCACAGTGCTAAGCAGTACCTAATTATTATTCATCCTCTAGAATGGAGTGTTTATCTCTTGTTATAGAGTAGCTTCGGTGGACGATTACGAATCTAATGAGTGTCAAAAGTATAAAAAATTTTCCTAATGAGCTGTGTAAATATAACCTTTGAGTGGAGTGTTTGGCTATTGAGGGAACCTCTTACATGAAGCCTGCCAGGCATTTCCCTAGGAAAAGGATTGGTGATTTTCCTTAAGGGGTACACAGGATCCCAGTAAGACCTTACCTTCCTTTTCCTGTCTAACCTTTGTGTCCTTTCTGAGATAGTGTAGTGCACCTTGGGGATCTTCGGTTCACAGTACTTCAGGAACAACATTCATGGGTACTTTTCAGCATTGATCATCAATATCCAACCTTTACTGAGAAACATACTTTCCTAGGCACTGATGTTCCAAGAGGGGGATGTCATGGTCTTTTTCTTCTCCTCTTCAAGGAACTTTACAGTCCTGTTGGTTGGCAATGTTATAAACTTAAAATATCTCATCTCAAAATATGAACATATTTATAATAATTCATATATATGAATTCATATATACATATGAATATATTCTTAGGTATCTTGGATAGGTGAGAGAAGAGTCAAGGAAAAGGGTTTTTTAATGGAAAGATGAAAAGGCAGAGTAAGTCATAAGGAAAACGAGTCTAGTAAGAGTTCAGTGAAGAACAGAATGGGCCAGAGTTCATAGTGTCATTCATTAATTCATCCAGCAACCAGCAAGTATCTATTGAGTACCTGGTATCTCCCTGGCACCTAAGAGGTGACACTGATGAAGAACATAAAGAATGAGTCAGTCTGGGACTTAAAAAATGGCGTTTCTGGCTTCAAAGGAGAGGTTAAATGGGAGATCTGTTAGGTCCTATCAATCTCATGGATTTTGTAGTTTTTTTAAATGTGATCCTAGGATTTGAAGAGACAGAAGGAAGATCATAGAGGCTAAAGCCCTTTGGGTGTACAGAGGCCAGCAAAAAGATATTGAGAACAAGGTTGTATAATATTATTATTCAGCAGCAAGTGATGCTGAGGGTAAGGAAGGAAACCATTGTTTTTGAGCCCATACTGAATGGCCCAGCGTGGTGCCAAGTAACTCACAAATATTCTTAGCAACACTTCGTACAGTATTCTGGGGTACATCTTAGTATTTCCATGTTGCAGAGCAGGAAAATGAGGCTCCATTGGGTTTAGTGAGCTACAGTAGAACTTTTAAACTTCGTTGTAAACAGGAATCACCGGGGGATCTTGTCAACCGGCAGTATTTCAGTCGGTCTGGGATGGGGAGCCTGAGATTCTGCATTTCTAACAAGCTCCAGGTGAGGCTGATGCTGCCAGTCTATGGACAACACCCTATATGGATTTTTATAGTTCATGTAA